CGCGTGTCTCGCGGTCCCGCCCGCCGCCGTGGGCCTCCACCACCATGGAGATGAGGGTGAAGCCTTATGCCGCACAGGGCCGCGTGGTGTCTTGGCGCTGCCTTTTGAACTCCTCGTTCCGCTCCGTCGACGCGCTTGACGAAGCGGCCGACGCGGCGAGGAGATCGGCGCGCAAGTTTGACGTGGCGGCAAAGTTCCAGGCGGCCACCGCGCCGTTGCGCCACCGCGGCAATTGGGCCTCGGCAGGGCGGCGGCCGTTGTCGCCCATATGGGGCCTGCCCTGCTCGCCCCTGTGGGTGGCCTCCCCGGCGGGGCGTGGGGGTGGCAACCCAGGGCGCTCCAACTCCGCCCCAGCGTGGCCCGCGGCCAGGATGTCGAAGGAGGCCTGGTTGCTCAGTGCGTTGCGGCGGTTGGTCCGGTCGCAGCGGCGTGCGCAGACCACGGCGCGGTCGCTGAAAACGCCCATCACATCGCCACAGGCTTGGCAGAATCAGTCCTCCTGCAGGAGCTGGACTCACAACCGCGTCTGCACGCCGACCTGTATGAGGCCCCGCGGGAATGCGGCGCCGGTGGCCGTGCAGGACGGCGCCTGCCGTCAAGCGGCACCGCCCGGGACCTGCGCCAGGAGAGGTGCGCCTGGCCGGCAAGGGATGGCGCCCGCCGGGATCCCGTCGAGTTTGGCGATATCCACCGCGTCGGAGAGGGCCTTCTGGTTGCCGTGCTGCGCGCTGTCGAACACCACCCCAGTGTGCGTCCTGCACGACTGCGCTGCGGGCCTGCACCGCACCCGCCAGGCTACCCCCGTCGCGGCCAGCGCTTTTGGAGTAGCCAGGGTAGTGCTGCCGACAGGGGTCGGCGCCCTTCGCTCAGGAAGCGGTGTCTGCGGCGGCTGCATGCTTCGCGGCGCAGAGCGTAGGCCAAGTGCTCCGAAGTTGAGCTCGAGCTGAGCCGGCCGACAGGAGGCGTCGGAGGGCGAGCAGCCGATCAGTTGCTCAAGGCAGGCCCAGACAGCGTCGCCCATGGCCAGCGGGGAAGCGGCGTGCGCGGTGGGCGGCACCACGCGCGCGGGGTAGCCCAGCTTGCAGAAGGAGGCGCGCTGGCGCAGGTGGTGCAATGCGACCTTCGTTTTTTCTAGCTCCCCCAGAGCTTCCAGCAGAGAGGTGGCGCACGCGACCAGCTGCTTGCCGTGCTCCGCGCAGAAAGCCGCGTATCCCACTGGCGCGCCGAGCAGCTCGAAGTTGCGATCGGTGCGGAGGCGGAAGCCCAGCGGGAAGCCGACCAGAGACACGTCGGATGCGTCTCCGCCAGTGGAGACCACTTCGCACTTGCCCGGGCCCGTGCTCAGCTGGAGGCCCACCGCGGCGAGGTCGGCCACGAGCAAGTGGAGGGGGCGCGCGACAGCCGTGGCGTCGCTCGCGAGACAGCCGTCGTCAAAGTAGAAGAAGCTCAGATCGACGGCGCCGTCGGCGCCGCGGCGCGGCGCGCGGAGGGCGGCCTCGGCGGCGCGCTGCACGGCAAGGGGAAACAGCGAGGACCCCAGGGGGTCGCCCTGCTGCACCCCGCTCTCGGAGCGGACTGCCGGCTTGCCCAGGACGAGAGTTGACGGGCGGGAGTGACGCAAGTCGGCCCAGGGCGCCAGGCAGAAGAACTCTTCGTGGACTGGGCGGAGCAGAGCCTGCTTGCCCAGGGCGTTGCAGGCGTTGGACAAGTCCAGCTTCACAAACACCTCCCACCGGTCCCCGGGGTGGCGGGTCCACCACTGGCGCGCGCAAGGCGCCGCCGCCTCAGCGCCGCCAGGGGCCGCGACTCCGATCTGGAGGGTCGCGCGCGGCGTCGGCTACCTCGTGGCACAGGCACTTGACGACGAGGCGCTGCAGCATCCGTCCTTCTGCGGCAGGGCCACCAGAGAGGCGCCCGCGAAGTGTTCAGACACTGCTGGCGGGTCCTGCCCCCTGGCGCGGGGTTTGACAAGGTTTCGGAGCTGGTGGAGGACCTCGCCCACGTGGGCCGCGTTGAGCAAAGCGTCTCTTGAGTGTTGGAGCCGGGGACCTGTTGGCGCCGCCCTTTGCACCCAGCGCCATCAGGGCGGGGATGGACTATGGAGGCGGAGAAGATCAGGGGGGGGGGTCAGGCTTGCTTCTGCTTCGCCGCGCCGCACTGCCAGGCGTTTTTGTTGTTAGTTCACCTCGCCGACGCGGCTACCGCGTGACAGAATAAAGGGCGGGGGCTGGGTGGGGGGACGTGATGGTGGAGGATGGGCGCTGTACGGGGACGAACTCGCTCGAAGGTGCCACGACGCTTCGACCGAACGCCCCGCTTTCCTCTCCACCGCAGCTGTTCCAGATGTTTACCCCCGCTCTCACGTCTTCTTTTTCTTTCACCCTTTCCCTAATGATCCCCCCCCTCCCACCAAGGTCCTTGCCGGGTGGGAGGGGCAGGGAAGGTGCGCATGGTTGCAGGAGCTCTCTTCGACCGCCATGAAAGTGAATTCCCCATCCCCGTCAAACTTGTGGTGGTGGTGGTGGTGGTGGTGGTGGTGGTGGTGGTGGTGGTGGTGGTGGTGGTGGTGGTGGTGGTGGTGGTGGTGATGGTGGTGGTGGTGGAGGTGGAAAGCAGGCCCAGCACCTTGGACGCCCCCCTCGCTGGCCGCGCCCGACAGGATGGGGCCCCAGGCGCCGCCCCCCGAGAGGACCGAGGACGAGAGTGGCAGGCGCTCGCGCGCTGGGGGGCCCGCGCGGGTTCCTCGAGTCGGCGTCGGTTTTCTTCCCTCAGGACTGGCACGCCCCTCTACAGGGAGAAAATCTCAAGCAGTGGCGAAACGTCCTGGCGTGCCTAATGGGCCTGCCGAGCAATGTTCTAAGAAACTTTTGTGGTTCCACGAAATGCAATCAGAACGTGTCTGGCTGGGGCTGTCTTGTTTTAGCGCGTCGGGCTCATGTTCTAACAACATTGTTTTGTTGTGTCCGTGGAACGAACATTCCTGGGTTCCAACAACATGTCGTGGTAGGCGTATAGGAATGCCGGGACGGTCGGTCCCTGGTCAAATTTTCATAATGAGTCAAAAAACATCCGGGGACGATTGTTTGAGTGTCTGTTTATATACAAAAGGTTTGATTATGCTTTGGCTATTTTCAATGTTTCGTCCAAGATCCGCCTGTAGGGGGACGCGCCCGACCGAACTCTTCCCTCATCGGCAACAGGTTGGGGGGGCACCGACGACCCCCAGTCGCTCGTTCATCGCCCATAGATCAGGCGATCGCAAAGATGGAGTCAGGAGGCGTGGATTAGCGACGGGTCCCGTTTCAATCGGAAACCGCGGATTTCCGCCGCCGAACGAGGCGGCACCTGCCGCATTGTGGGGAGGGCGCCTCCCCCGATCCATGGATTTGGTGACCCTGCGCCAAGTCCATGGATCGCTGGTCCATGTTCGCGCGCCCCCGAGCCCATCGAGGTGCGGGGAGGCCCTCTCCCGCCTGGGAGCTGCGGAATTCGCCCTCGGGGGGGCTCGTCGCCGAGCTGTCGGCCATGCATCGCCAAGTCGAGGTCGATGCCTTCCCTTCCTGAGCTGGCCCCCCCGTACGGCAGGTTTGCGTCGTGTCGACCAGCGGCGACCCCAGCGCGGGCGTTCAAGATTGAACGCCGCCGGCGACCCAGAATCGATCGATGGTGAACGATCGGACGTCGCGGCAGCGGCCGATCGTTCAAGGTTGAACGATCCCTGCGGTGTCAAAAACCAACGCTGGGGTCGGCACGACACGAACCTGCCGTACGTCCCCCCTCGTACGTTCCCCCCGTACGTTCCCCCCCTCGTAGGTTCCCCCCGTACGTTCCCCCCCTCCCGTACGTTCCCCCCCTCGTACTTTCCCTTCCTGAGCTGGCCCCCCCGTACGTTCCCCCCCTCCCGCTCCCCTCCCACGCGGGGCGACGCCCCTGGAGCAACGTCCGGCGCTCTCCGCGCGCTCGGGCAGGAAGGGGTATATGCGCGGGGAGGGGTGCCCGGAGGAACCCGCGCGGACCTCCGATAGTCAGGAGAGGAAAAAACACACAGACACAATGAATCCTCGATTCCCCAGAAAGTATGGGAAAATATGGGAAGTGGGGGGGAAGACAGAAACCCAGAAAATATAGGAAAATATGGGGAATATTTTTATTTGTGTGTATGTATTTGTGTGTCCTGGGGCCCCTTCAGATAGCTCGTGCGTAACTACTGGGGCTTCCAGGTCCAGACCAGGGCGGGACGGCGCATTCGTTCGGGTCGTGTCGTGTCGACGCGGCGGCGACCCCTGCGCGGGCTTTCGAGGGTGAGCGCTTCCAATGTCCAGCACTGGCCTGACTGGAACAATCTGCCGATCGAAAACCTGCCAATATCTCAAGGATGAACGCGCCTCGGACGGGGCTAGGACGAGGATACAGAAGTTCCAGAGCGTTCCGGCCCGAGCGGTCTGAGAAGGCCGCGGCACCCGACACATCCTCCAGAGCTGGAGCCGCCATATTCTAGAGAATCTCGATGTACCCCAATCCGATGTCGTCCTCGTCCTGGCTTCGTCTTAGAGCCACGCTGTGTCAGAAACCAACGCCGGGGGCGCCACGACACGAGCTTGCCGCACACCGATCCCGGCCCCAGATTCGCCCAGCCACACCTGGCGCCCGACTGCCGGCGGCGCGCCCAGAAGGAAAGGCAGATGCCTGGCATCGGACCACCGAGGAGCAGCTTGGCTCATCCCCAAGAAAAAGTGAATGTTTGATGCCGACAGATGCACGGGGTATGGACGTCCGAACGACGGCGAGGAGGGAACGGGCCTTCTTCCCAGAGGGCTCAGGAGGCCTTTGGCCTGCTGAGAGGCCTCCAGAGCCTCCTCCGAAACCAAAGGGCGCGCCTCAAAAGGCGTGAGGAGATCTGGGCACCCCCGGAGCGCTCTCGGCGCGGCGCAGCCGCTGGAACACACTCCCCGAGGCTCGAAAGCCGCCGAGGGCACGAGGCCGCCCGACAACACCTCGAGGCTCGAGGCCCAGGCCGACCCCCCGCGGCGCGCCGCTGGAGCTGCCCACGGCCGCCATGGCGCGCGCTCCGGAGTGCGGCCCGCTGGCTGCCGCGGAGGAGGGCATGGCCGAACCGCTGTGCCCCGAGGCCCTGCTCGTGGCGGCGGGGAGCCCTGCGGCGGCCAGCGTGGAGGAGCCCCAGTGTTGTGGAGGACGATCCATGGAGAGGAGGCATGTTGCCAAGTAGTTTCCAGATGTCTCAAGCATGTGTTAAACATGCTTCAGACATGTAAAAAAACATGTTTGAAACTTGTGTAGAACATGTTCTGACATGTCTAACACATCTTAAATGCAATGATCGGACTGTGAGAGTGTCCATCGTCATGACATCCAAAACCCCAGTGGGCCGCCAGCCCTGAGCCTATCCCAGCATCGTTCCACCTCGGGCCCACCATCCCACTGCCCTGGTTGGGGGTGTGCCCCTCGAGACCATCTTCCCCTATATCCTTCCCGTACCCCTCTCCCTTCTCCTCATCCTTTTGCTCCTCCTCTTGGGTTGCCCACTGTCCTCCGGAGCCGCGCCGAACGTGAGTCGGGGAGACGTCGACCTCCAAGGTCCGGGGATATCGTGCCTGACGGCCCGTGCTCCTCCGACGAGCCGTGCCCCCTGCCCGCCTGAAACCTCCTCGCGTGTCGTCGGGAAGGAGCTTGGGTTTCCTCGCAGTGCGCATGCAGGCTACAAGTGAGCTCGAGAATTCTTCACGATTCAGTTGGGATCGGCGCTCCAATCGTCCCCACAATTCATTCAGCTTCATGGTGCGCTGCGGCCCCTCCCCCGACCCATACCGTCGGGGCGTTGCTGCCTCTCTGTTTCAGTGGCTCCACCTCCCCCGCCAACCCCCATCATTATCGATGGGGTTTCACCCGGCCTTGCCCCTGAATTCGCCAGCCCAACGGGCCAGAGGCGTGCTAAGATCTCAGGTAACCGCTCTTAACCGCTTTACAGTCATTCTACTTCGCGCGCGCGGGGCGGCCCCTGGGGGTCCCCAGACGAAAAGTACCCCAGGCAGGTCCCGGGCGACTCGGGTCAGAGATGCTTTTCCTCCTGGGCGCCGCCCTCGAGGCCGTCCAGAGAGCCCCAAAAAGGCCAAGAGGCCGCCAAGAGCCCCTCAAGATGATACAAGAGAGCTCCGAGATGCCAGAAAAGATCGCTCCAAGACGCCCAAGATGGCCCCCGGGCGGCCCCAAGAGACAACAATCATTGCTCGTCCTTAGGTTTTGGAGAGATTTGGGCGTTCCCACCTCTTCGGCTTCCCGACCCCCCAAGACGGCCCAAGAGGCCCCCAAGACCGCCCCAAGAGGGCCCAAGGCCCCCAAGAGGGCCCCAAGACTGCCCAAGAGGGTTCCAAGACGGCCCAAGAGGCCTCCAAGACGGCCCAATAATGCCCCAAGAACGGCCCAAGAAAGGTCCCGCGGGGGAGGGGGGGGAAACACGAAACAACATTTCGAGCCCTCGGCCCTAAGAAGCCCCCAGGAGTCCCCAAGAGGCCCCTAAGAGGCCCCAAGAGGCCCCCAACATTAGGAAGCCCCCAAGAGGCCCCCAAGCGGCCCCAGGAGGCCCCCCAAATGCCCCCCCGAGCACGCAAGCACGTGCCAACGACCCGACGCGTTTAAGAGTCCCCAAAAGGCCACCAAGAGGCCTCCCGAAAGAGTCCCCATAGGGAAAACGCTTCCAGACGGCCCGCGACGCGTTCAAGACTCCCCCAGCGGCCACCAAGAAGCCGCACATGCCGAACGCAAAGCCTTATAAAAGCAGACGCCGCCCCTGCAGTTCCGCACCGCGAAAGTCCACTCGGTCAGTCGACAACGGCGCGCAGTATGGGCCGGCGTAATGAGCGAAGCGAGGCAATAAAACATGACATAGTGTAGTGATAGGGTCTCGCCCTCATAAGCCTGGGACCTCAGCGTAAATGACACACTTGGGTGCAACAGCGCACGATCCGATCATACAGGTTACATCCTTTGTATCAGAATAGCAATATCAATGTCGAGTTTGGGTTCAGCCTGGGTTTACCTAAACCAGTAGTTACGACCCTTCCTACAACTTGTGAACCTCAGTTCCAACCCGTCTCTCAACCCTGCAACCTTTCCGCCAACCCTCCCCTCGACCTTTCAACCTTTCGCCCAATCCTTTCCCTCAGCCCTTCAACCCGTCCCCCAGCCCTTCGCCATCTCCTCAACCCTTCCCCCAACCTTTCCCTCAACCCTCCAGCAGCGGGGGCCAACCCTTTGACCCTCACCCCTTCCCTTCAACCCTTGAACTCTTGATGTCTGAGGCCCCGGGGTGCTCTGGAAGGGGGGGTGGTGCAGTCAATCACCGCACACGCCTTCGCATCCCCAGCAAGCGGGGGTCGGCGGACCATGTTGGGCCTCGCAGTCGACTTGGTTCCCGCGTCGCCGCCCTGTCCGAATGGGGGGCCATGTCCGAGGCGGATGGCTGGATCTCAGTACACCTTAGGCGATGCTTAAGAAAACCTAAGTTTTCTGCCAGAGTCTCGATTATTCTTAACGTTTCAATGTAAATCTTCAGATTTTAATGGAATTGTTTGGTTTTTATTCGAGTTCTGAGACTATGAATTTCTTAACCCATGATTTCTTAAGCATTTCGCAGGGTGTAGTAGTTCCGGGACTGCACAGGCTCCGCAAAAAACGCTTTCTATGTACACCACCATGTCCGCGGGCGGTGTCCGCTCGTATATTACAGTGCCGGCCAGGGGGGTGCATACATTTCTGTCATAGGCCCAGGCCTAGCATCCACTTGTACGCCCCCCTGGCCCCTGGTTGTGCGAGTGTCCTTGGACGTGCGAGCTTACTTGGTGACGCACTGAGCTTTGTCACGTGTTTCTGCAGGTTCCGGCCACGTTCGCTGGTGAACATTGTTCTGTTGCCAGAGAGGCGCAATTTGTTTGGTCTGCACAGGCCATGGGTTTGCGTGTTGGCTCGTCTGTTGTAGGTTGGTTTTCTCGCGATTCCGAGGTAGCTTGGTGCCTGTGATCGCTGTTGGTTACCTGCCGCATGAATTGGTATATGCCAGGGCCAAGGACGGCCATGGGCCAGGCACGGCAGTGGTCTGCAGGAGCTTCCTGCGTGTATGCCAATCATTGGCCTACTTATACGTATCCCCATTTGCCCATCCAAAAGCAGACACCTGGCCAGTTGCCCTGATCAGAGACGTGCAGCAGCATGCCGTCACGCTCTTGGAGTTTCTTTGAATTGTCTTCGGGCCACTGTGGGGATCTACTGTCGCTTGGGGCCCTCCTGGGGCGGCTATGGAGGCCTCTGGGACCCTCTCAGGGCTCTCTTGGGACCGCGGTGGTTTGCAGGAGCCTTCTGCTTGGTAGATAATCATGGGAGCCTCGCATACCCTTTTAATTTCGTCTATAGCGTCGATTAGCGTTTGGGAGTCGACGAGGTAGCGCCGTTTTAGCGTCGGCTCGCGTCGCTTCGTGTCGATGAAGCGCCGAGTAGTGGCGCCGACTGGCATCAATCAGCGTCGGCTCGCAGGAGCCAGCAAGATGGCATGGGAGCCTCCCATGAGTTGCCCACCGAACTCCTGCGCGAATGCCAAGAAGGAGGAAAGAGAGGAGGAGGAAGAGGAGGAGGAGGAGGATCCTTCACTCCGCTCGCCGCCGACAGCAGTCGATCGCACTGAGCCCCCCTCTCGAGGAGGCGGAGCACGGAGGCCTGCTGGCGGCCGCCGCTGCCAGACGCGCGCGCCCGGGCGCGTCGCGCCGGGGCCGCGTGCTCGGCACCGCGGCCGCCCTGTGCGTGGCGCTCGCGGTGGCGCTGCTCGCTAAGCAGTGGGCGCGGTCCTCGGAGGAAGCCTTCCCAGACGTGATCGCTTCGGAAGACAATCGGGACGGGAGGTTTCTGGCTACTTCCGGCCCCCGGGGGGGGGGGCCTCGCCCTGCCTCGGGGCCGTCAAGCAACGACGCAGGACGAACAGCCGGTCCCGGGGAAGGGGTCGGGACTTCCAGGGATCAGGGGCGGCAAAGAGGGGGGTGATGACTAGGGGGGGTCGGATATATCATGGCGTGGGCCATGATATTTCCCCAGATGTCATGGCGCCTCCTCTTCTTTCATTACGTCCATGGCCCCCCCCTGGGCCGCGCGCATGCCGCCGGCCATGATTTGCACCCCCCCCTCTTGGGTGCCCCCCTCTTGACCGCTCCCGAAGGGACGCCGTCCTGAAAAAAATCAGGACGTCGCATGTCTGGCTGGAGACTCGGGGCACAGAGACAGGGTCCCTGGCAGTCGACGCTAGTCTATAGGCCTCCCCAGGATGGGGTCCGAGCTGGGGGTCGGAGGATCGCGCCGCATCGCATCGCCAATGCATCGCCGATGTGTGATGACCCCGTGGCCCCGAAACGGGCGAGGACGCCCGGCGTGAAAAAGGTGCGACGCCCGTGTCTCGGCAGGTCGTTGGCTCATGGCGGGGCCCTCGGCCCCCTCGTTCTGCGGCGTGGAGGTCGATATTTGTGCTGACCCCGGGCGAGAACGCCCGGCTCCGCGGGCCCCGCTGACGTTGGGGCTGTTCCTTCACCGTTTCCGGAGAAGGGTCTCTTGAGAATAGAAACCGTTGGGCAAAAAGTTGGCTTCTGTCTTCCCTCCCCAGCACAACGCTCGTTGCCCGGGCCAAACCCCCTCCCCCTTTCCCTGGGTGACGCTGACGATCTCACTGGGGGGGGGGCCTGGACCCCCCTTACATGCTGTGGTGCACGCAGGCGATTGATGCGCAGGTGGCGCGGACGCACCCTGGCGGGTGCACGCCGCGGCCACCGTTACCGTTGCCCTCCGCTCCACCCTCCCCCCCAGGTAACGATTGTTACTCAGGAGGGGAAACAAAACGCTCACAAACGACAGCCAGAAGCAGCAACAGAAGCTGCTCTGGAATTGGAATTAGAACCGGAACCGGCAGAACAACGGCAACTCGGGGCTCAAGAGACGGGGTCAGTGCAAACGGGGGCCAGCCAGAGCGCAAGATCTTGCAGGATTCTGCAGGGCCAGGGTCGCATTGACCCAGGCTTGGGTGCGGGATCCTGCAGGATCTTGCAGGATCCTTCGCATCGACCCAGGTTTGGGTGCAGGATCTTGCAGGCTCTTGCAGGACTCTGCAAGGCCTGATGGACCCGGGTCTGGATTGACCCGGTTCAGAAGATCCCCAGCAACATAGCCAGAAAAACGGCAGCAGGGACGGCAAAGCTTGTGGAATTCGATTAATGGAGAGGAAGCATATTGCCAAGTCATTTCCAGATGTCTAAAACATGTGTTAAACATGAGTAATGTTTAAAACATGTTTAGAACATTTGTCCTACGTTTAAAACGCAGTTCAAATTTAATGATAGGACTGTTAGGGTGTCCGTTGTCGTGGCATCCACAAGGCAAAGCGGAACCACTTCAAAGAGGGCTCTGTCGTTGCCAGAGCCCACCGAGGGCGAGCACGCCCGGCGCGAGAATGTTGCAGCGCCCGCATCTCAAAAAAGGTCGTGGGCGGACCCCCGATGTTCCAGAGTCAGTCCGACGTAAATCCGACATGAATCCGACGCAGTCCGACGTGATCCCGACGTGAATCCGACGTGGATCCGAGGAGTTGCCGCGTGAGGCCTCCAGGAGTTTCTTCATAAGGGGCGCTGTTGAGTGCATGCCCCGCGAGGAGCGCGATGTGCTTCATGTTTGTCGGACGTTCTTGTGCATCCTGGGAGTGGTGCCCTCGAGTGTTCTTCAGTGTGGCACGCGAAGGTTCTCGGTGCGGCCGCGTACCGCGCTTCTGAATCCAGCCCGCGAGGGCGTGGCTACAGATCATTACGGCGGGGGAGTTGGTCAAGGAATGTGCCCAGGGGGCCTCAGACCCTGGAGGACGCCTCACGTGATGAGGGCGGCGGTGACACCGGTGGCCACTCCGCGGTCGACCTTTCCCAGGGGGCAGTCCTTCGTCCCGAGCCGTTTTCAGACGGCCCCTGAGCCTGGCGCGGGGCTCCCAGAGGCCGCACAGTGAGAAACGCCTCCGCCCTGACTTTTGCTCAGGACGCTGCGTGTCTGGGCATCCGCTGCCCCCACCGTGCGTCCGCTGCTCGTGAAGGGGGCAGCAGCAGTGCCTCGGAGCCCCGAGTCATCACTTGGCATCGCTCGGATGTGTATGTGTTGTTTCTCCTTCGGCGAGGATCATCGAGGAGCATCCTTGATCATTTGGCGGAAAACCCACGCACGAAACCATAATGAACACAGGGTATGGACGTCCGAGCGATGGCCAGGTCAGGGCCGTGGTGGTCAGGTGGAGCTCCTGGTCCGTGCCTCGGGGGCCTACAGTCGGGTCGCCGAAGAAAGAAACCTTTCCGTTGGGGAGGGGCTCGGTGTTCCTTCATTGTTCCACAGTTTGCCTAATGTTTTCCTTACGTTTTCGATGGGAAGTCGAGGATTAGCTTATGGAAAAGAGGGGCCTCTCGTTCCTCGTTCAGGGTTCCTTCGGTCAGCGCCTCGACTGTATACACGAGATGCCCCCAGACTGGAGCTAGCCCAGATCGTTCGGGCGTCCAGCCACTCCCGCATCATCTCGGCGTCACCCCAACATACTTTGTATTATGTGTGCGTCGCCCCCCCAGGGGCGACGCGCGCACCGAGAAATATTATAGTATATGCGTGGTGGCGGGCGCTTTCTGGCCACACCGCTCGGGAAACGATGTACGACAAGATCGGTTCACTAAATGTTCGGGTCTGGCGAACGTCTCCAAGGAAAACATCTAGTACTAGTACGTCCTTCTGCCTCCCATCATCGGGGCTGGGTGTGGTCAGAGCTTCTTCGTGCGTCGGGGGCGCCCCAGCCGGAGGTGCCCCGGACTCGAGCTGTCTACCCCGGACAACTCAGACGTCCAAGCGGTGCTTCCTCTTCTGTGCCGGGGGTGGACAGACCTCCTACCCTGACACGTCGATTAGCGAATTGGCCGTTTTCGGTTCGCGAGGGGACGTCGCGGCAGTCATTTTTGCGGGTCCAGTCCCGTCGGTTTCGGTCCCAGGCCGTTTTCACTAAGGGGAGGTTCATTAAGGGGAGGTTTGTCCACCGCCGATTTTGGCTTCCCCAGGTCCCGCCGCGCCGCCAGCGCGGACACAGGCTCCCCGGGGGCGGGAGTCGCGAGCCCCACCTCCCGAAGTGGAGGGTTTCTCCGAAGGGCTTAGGCGACCCGTCCTCCTCCTCCTCCTCCTCCTCCTCCTCCTCCTCCTCCTCCTCCTCCTCCTCCTGTTCCTCCTCAAGCCGTCAGGCCGAGGCAATTTTCAAATGCCTCGCCACCGCGGACAAGCGTTGCAGCCTAGGCTCCGTGTGCCACCGCCTGAATGCGGTGTGGGTCCGATGATGTCACGCTCCTTATCCCGCCCGCTCGCGGGTGCGATAATGAACGGGCGGAGGGCGGCACTTCCCTCTGGGAGGTTCGTGGTCGTTCGTTTTCGTCCTTCGTGTCTCGCTTCGTCGTCGTGTCCGTCGCCCCCTTCCTCTTTCGGAGATGCGGCACGGCCCTGGATTAAGTTCCAGGGTGGACGTTGTTTGCGCTCCTGGGCCGGAGAGTGGCCCTTCCCCCCCTCCCCGCCCTGCTGCCGCCGCTGTCGTCGTTGCATCTGTCAGGCCAGGGCTTTTAGTGCCCTGCCACCCCGGCCAAGAGGTGCGGCCTGGGCGCGGGGAGACCCCAGTGGCACCTCCTGGTCTGAGGTGAACCGCCGTTGACGATCACGGAGGCGGGACCCGCGGCTTCCCGCCTGCTACCTCTAGGTCGCAGTGCTCTTTGCCGCGGGCGTACTGTTGCCGTGTTTGTGGGGGTGCGGGCGCTGGGCGACGCTCCGTGCATTGTCCTTTGGGCGCCGATCCTGAACCCCCGTGCGCCATTTTGGCGCGGGGTGTAGGGCGGTCCTTGGTTTGCTTTTTCTGTTTCTCTTCATGTCCCCCCTAAGCCACAGCGTTTCTGGCGCTATTGGGAGTTAGTCTAGGAATGGACGCCGGAGGTCAGGTCCCCGCTTGTGTCCGTGATTCCCCCTTTTTGCGCGTGTGCTCTTGGTGTTGGCCGTTGGCCGCTTTGGCGGTTGGCCAGGGCACGTTGGCCAGCGCTTTGTTGAGCGCCGCGGTTTTGTTCTGCCTATTTGGGCTTGCAACATGTCCTGTTCCTCCTGTTCCTCCCCCTCCTCCTCCTGTTCCCTCCTCTCCCTCCTCCACCTCCTCCTCCCCCCTCCCCATCTTTTCTCCTCCTCCACCTCCTATTCGGTTCGTTCGGTTCGGATCGGATGAGCGCAAGAGGGCCGAAGCGCGTGCACAGCAGGACGTGAGCAAGGATGGATGCAGCAGCAGAAGCAGGCACGCCCGCCTCCAGCACCATAGAATGGCTCATCTTTCCGTTAAGAGAGTGGCCGTGTAACAGTTGGGTGCGATCATTCACAGCTGATGGGCACTGAGAGAAGAGAGATAGGGCAGGGAATGACAGATATTGGGACATAGTAGCTTTCCCAGTCCCATGCATAGAGTAGGTTACTGCCCATGGCGCGAGCACCCCCGTGCGTGGGGCATTGCAAAACCTAGAGTACTGCCAGAAGTCGGCGAGCCTTGAGGCGGTCTTGACCGCGTCGAACCTTCCTCTAGGTGCCCCTTTTCACCGGATTTACACACCAAACCACACAACAGCTACGCAGCCGAGAGACACATCACATGTGCAGATACACGGACAGACAAGAGAAGGCCCTTTTTGCTGGTCATGGCAGCAGACCCCCCCATTTAGGTCGGGCCGTTGTGCAACAGAGAATCCACATGAAATCCATAACCAACGTAAGGGCCCAACGGGGCCGTAAACCGTCGAAGGCCCAGTGGGATTCCCCAGCCGTCGTCACAGGAAGCCAGTGCCAGCATGGTTCGTAGCGCTCCTGTGCCAGCGGGAAAATTAATTCAGCGAGGTGGAGGATCTTACGGACAAATACGTATATGGTACCACACACGACATCCGCAGCGTCATGACCTCTACCTGCGAAAAGGATTGCGCAAATACAAAGTGATATCTACGAATGCGTACAGAGATGCACTGGGGTTATACTCGCTGAGCCGTAAAAATAAGAAATTCCCGATCCTGTGCCATAGTCCACAAGTGTGGCGGCCTGACAAACGAGGGCGACGCAGGAGAGGAGGGCGAAGCCCTGAGCGAACTCGACCAAAGGAACGTGGGCAGGGAAACCACGGCACAACTCATGGAAACGGCGTTTGGTTTATTGCACGACGCGAGCGGCACCAGGGGCGTAAACAAACGCCCCTACCTTGGTTTACGAGGCGTTGCGCGCTGGACCTCCTGTGGGCTGACAGGGTAAACCCTGAATATCGCGCGTGTCGCGCGGCGTCCTGTCGGCTCTCTGGCCTTTGGGGTCTCCCAGGAGGTTTACAGACCACGCATTTGCAACCCAGGGTAAGGGGCGTATTTCCATTCCTCAGCTGCAAGGAAGTAGCATAAAGCGGGGAGGTCAGATTTGGTGTGAGTTGTCTTCCACATGTCATGCTCGTCGATTCCCCCCAGACGCGCATGCGGCCGGCCATGGGTGCAAAGACCACCATCCATTTTGTCAGCAGGGTATTGCCGAGCCGCGTTTAAGTGCACGCACAGCATCGACGTTGGTTTGAGAACAGGCGCCCAAAACTCGCACTGGTGGATATGACGAAGATGCACGTTCGGCAAAGCAACGAGGGTCCACAACTGGGGTAAGAGCCATGAGCTAGGAGCTCCCTCGATCCTCGTGTTGTGGGACGGATGCTCCATCATCGCAAGGGCCCCCCAAATCCACGGCGGGACGACAGGGGGGGGGCGCGGAGAAGACGAGGGAGCAGAGGGGGGCGGAGTAAGGGGGACAGGAGGCAAAGAAGGGGTAGCTTCGTTAAGCTGTTTCCTGGATATATGCCATCTGTCGGCAACAGGTGGTCCATAGCATTGTGCTGGTGGCATCTCGGCGTTCGCGTCGGGCCTGCCCCTGGCTCGATTGGCCGCCGATGTTGCCTTGGCCTGAAGTCGGGCCTCTTCAACCTCATCAGGCTTGGGGCGCCGCTCTGACCTCGCCCATGCAAAGATGCTGCACTAAGCGAGGCACGCTCCAGAAGTGTGTCCAACGCACCTGACAGAGAGTACCCACCGCATCGCAAGCGGGGGGGTCTAAGGTCTTATGGACTTTACCGACGTGGATGCGGAGCAGATGCTCCGTGGTCGCCTGGATAGGGCAGGCAGGGCACTGGTAAATTTGAGCAATTAAACCAGGGGGTTCGAGCAGAACGGCTTTGGCCGCCCTGGCCAGTCATGCTCCCACGTGGCACGGTGGGCGTCATCAACATTTTCTCATAACATGGTTTAGCCCGCACAATGGCCCCCGACAAGAGGCTTTCAACAGCCCGAGGATGGTCTTTGATAAACCTAACAAAGCCTTCTCTGGAGGGGTCCAGGGGTCTCTTATCAGGTTCAACGTGCTGGCCCAGTTAGCAGGATCATTCCAGGTTGAGCCGATTAGCATTCGGATCATGGGGGGCATGCGTAGGCAAACGAGCGAGGCACTTGAGTCTAATGGTAGTCATGGTCACATGGTGGGGTAATCTCTCAACTTCAAACCGTATCCTAGCAGACATAGCATTGGACTCCGCATTGTTGAGCCCAGAACTGTGAAGCGCAACCCGATACACACCCAGGTGGGTGGTGGTAATTTTGCGCGGGAGCAGGGCCGTAAGCGACGGCCAAACAGACGTAGCATAGCAGAGCGCGGACGAAGCCAGCGCCTCCGAGAAAACAATCTTGGCCGGCAGCAGCAACTGGGGACGGGGGGCAACCGTCGCCTCAATGGGGCCGAGAGTTCCACGAGCTTTGTTGGTGCGAGCCATGACCACAGGGGCCATGGAACCTGACGCAGGGACTCGAGCGCCCAGGACCCTATGGACAGCCACGATAGGGAAGCGAAAGGCCCAAGTCGGAGAATGCAGGGAGTGGGGAGAGGGTGCCAACCTGGGATACTGCGGGAGCCCTTACCTCGCAGGCAAATGACAAGTTTACTTGTCGTAGGGTTGTGTCGGAGTCGGAGGGAGAGAGCAGCAACGTATACAGCTTCCGCCACAGCTCTTGCAATCCTCTGCGCTCGATGCGCTTCCTTGGTTGCAACACATATCGCCATATCATCAATGAGGGAGAGGTCTCGTTGCACCTTCTACCAATCCTGCGGCGAGGCGCTTACAAGCTCAGAGGGGCCAAATGTGTCAGACACATTGATACTCATTGGGTCGAGTGGCGATCTGAGTTTAACGAGGGCCGAGCGGAAGACGAGGTTGAACACGTCAGAAGCAAGTATTGTGCCTGATCTGGTGCCAGCTGATGGCAGCACCAAATCTCGCGCATTGCGCGCCCTCCAACATGAGCCTCGCTGCGACTCCCTAGCGAGTGTGCCATGAGCTGGGCATTGGTAAGATGCATATCAAGGGGCTTTCTGGCCTCAAGTTGGGCTTGCACAGCTACTCTCAGCACCTCAGGGATGGCAATGGACTCGAGGGCCTGCTCTAGTTTAGAGTCCTCGCCTGGCATGGAGGGAACAGACTGCTTGATGGCATTGTTAAATGTGCCCACCGAATCCAGGGACAGAACGAGGGAGGATAACTTAGGCACAACAAAAGCAGACGTGTTAAGTCGTACGCCATGTAGAGCCATCTCAGGGCCCATGTGGGCCACGTCTCCGCAGTTTTCGGAACACAAGCACAAACCAAATAAGTCCAACGCTAAATGGCGGATATGACGATGATACAGTTTGCAGCTCGAACTCGCCATCATGATGTTGCACTGGGACTTAGCCAATTAAGGGGTGCCCGATCCTTTGGAGAATAAGGCAACCTCCCCCAGCTCGAAAACGAAGGGCTCCCTGGCATATCACGCAATCTTGCACATGAGCGGGCAGAGCGCCGGGGAGAGGGCCTTGGGGGCAGCCTTCATGAGGTCCGAGGGAAGCCATCGGGGCCAGGGGCTTTGCCTACTCGAGCATTTGGATGAGAGCCTCTACATCGATAGCCGAGGGCATGACCGTTGACTCCTCCTCCTCCTCCTCCCTCCTTCTCCTCCTCCCCCTCAACCTCCT